GGAGGGGTAAATGAATCGAGCAAGATATGAGCACAGTGAATGAGATCGATACGAACAGAGAAATGGACAGATTAAGAGAAATAGAAAGAGAAGAGAATAAGATGGCAAAATAATTAGAAATGAATCCGATCTTTACACACGCACACACGCTGACTTGCACACACACACACACACACGACACACACACACACACACACACACACACACACACACACACACAGACACAGACACATCGACACACAGACACACACACACACACACACAGACACACAGACACACCGACACACACACACTTGCGCACACACGCACATAACCTACACAATGTCTTGGCCTTGTCACAACCAAATGATTTCGAGTCATGATACGAATTCATTCTCTTTACAACGAGCGTTATACAAATTTTTATACCAAATCATTTTATTGCAACAAATTAGTAACATCGCTGAGAATTGATAGTAATATTAACGATGCGGGAAATAAAAATTACTGAATAATAATAATAATGATAATAATAATAATAATAAGCACTTGGGTAGCAATCGCTCATGAATGAATCGTGTCATGAATCCATTCATGACTGGATCCTGATACACGTTTCAGCATTTTGGTATAAGAACATTCTGATGGTGGAACAGGCGAAAATACAAAATCAAACGGAGATATCAAAGACAAGACGTGGAGAAATGCACCAAAAAGCAGCTCAAAAGGAATATTTGCAGGATTCTTTCTGTCTGGCAGAACGGCTTGACGATGTCTGAAATCTTTGGGAGTTCGCAGTGGGGGAAGCATTGCCCATATTGCCGAGGAAAGTGTTACGTCTCTATGCTGAAGGTAGGAGCAGAGATATGACTGGTCTAGGCATCTAAGAGTTGTAGAGAATGAATAATAATAATAATAATAATAATAATAATAAATAATAATAATAATAATAAATGTCTTCGTATTGATATGGCAGTCCCTGCAGACTGCAATGTATCTTTGAAGATTTTCAAAAAGCTATCAAAATAAAAAGAACCTTGAAATCGAAATCTCAAAACTGTAGCACAATCCCTGTTGTAGTTGGAGCCCTCGGATTGATTGGAAAAAAATTCCAATCGGCTCATTGAAGGGATTCTTGGTAGCCCATGCTTTAAAGAAATACAAAAAAAATTCTCGCGAGTTCCGCCCACACCTTACGAAGGGCTTTATCTATGTAAAATATGTGTTTTTTTTTTTTTTGTTAATTGCTCAGTGAAAAATGTCATGATGCCAGGTATTTGGGCGGGACCAGGAAAGAAATCAGTACACATCAAAAATCAAAAGAAATAATAATAATAATAATAATAATAATAATAATAATAATAATTTTGGTGATCTTTATTTTCTTATTAGAAAATAAAGATCATATTGTTACTAAAAAATAACAATCTTAAGTGGGTACCTGTCGCTCAATGTTGCATCAGTGTATCATGGATTAAGTTGGGAGCTTTCTTTTACAAAACAGGGTTATCTTGATGGCCCAGAGTTCAGTTCTGCAAAATTCGAATTTTTCCGTTAATATGTTTCAGTCAAAGTTCTAAAGAACATCAAAAAAAAGTGTAAAGAACCAGAAATTTGGCAATTTGCAATAAATACGAACATTCTTTTCCAGCTACAATGAAATACGACCATCCTGATTGACAAGCGCTTGGCGAACAATCGCCCTGATATCCCACTTGTGCACAAGAGCAGTCATTAAGGGATCATGATAGACGATGCACTACCCCGGGATAAGAACACCGTAAAGACGGAGCAGGTGAAAATAGAAGGATTCTAAAATGTAGCTGGGGTAAATCGGAGAAATATAGCAAAAGTGGCAGCTCAAGTTGTTTCTTTTTTTTTGTGATAAGTGAACTTCAATCTATTACTGCCTAGCAATACGCCTTGGGGATATCTGACATGATTGAAAGTGTGCAGGTGGCAGCACTGCTTGGAACAGTTTATGAGCCGAGAAAAGTGTTGTGTCTCTAAGCTGTGGTAAGAGCTGAGATATAATCATCATGACGTGACCGAAACATCTAAGATTTGTAGAGAATATCAAATAATAATAATGATGGAAAAAAGAAGAAAAATCTAGAGTACTAAGGTGACTTGTTGTCACTTGATCTCTATTGAAATTCCTGAAATTACTACTGGAATAAAAAAAAAAATACTACATAATATCTGTCAGGAATAAAAAAAAGACTAGTCCCTCGTCGACATAATATCTGTCTCATATTTTATTTCTGAGATATGGTATTATGAACACTATTTACATTATTCAGTCTATTGTCCTCATCTTTGTTGCCATATTTATCAAAACGTTTCGGCCGTTGTACGCTCCAGCCTTCTTCACGTGGCTGGAATGTCGAACTGAACCCTTTATTTCGCTCACTGGGGTAGACTGTTCTAGTTCCACGTGCCATGTTTAATGGATTTCAGTTATCAGTTATCTCCTGTTAATTTCCCTCTGAAAGTTCTCCACTGCCTTAACCAGGTATTGAACTCACACTCTTTGGGTCCTGTCATTGGATCTAACTAACGCCTTTATCAACTGTGCCATGTGTCCTTGAGGACACATGGCACAGTTTATGAAGTCGTTGGTTAGATCCAGTGTACATAATAATGTCGAAAAATCAAAAGGAATAATAATAATAATAATAATAATAATGTAACGGTAATGCTTATAGTCACTGGAGCACTCACGGTGCGGATAAACAACAACTATTACTACGAAAAGGAAGATTATAAGGAGAATGAATAAGTAAATACAAAATATCATGTGTATGGCTACGCAGTGGAAATCTGAAAAGAGAAACGAAATTCATCATCATTACAGACCAGAACAAATGCATCAATGCAAAGATTGACAAATCTCGAACAAAATAGAAAATGCCGAGTATCCGGAAAAAGAAATGAAACGCTTAACCACAAATCAGTGACTGTAGTAAATGGCCTAAAAACTAATTCAAAAGAAGGTATGACAGGGTGGGAATAGGCGTAGACGGGGAACTCTGCAAAAAGCCTCATTTCGACCATGTAAGAAAATGAAATTAGCACAAGTCAGAGATTTTCCTTGAAAACAAAACTCTTTTGACAGTCAGACTAACTACCACATTCAAGCAGAAAGAATCAGATCTAATAATTGTGAGTAAGGGGGAAAAAAAGGATTCTACGAAATTATGAATGGGCAACAGAAAAAAATAAATAAGAGAGTGAGAAATTAGAAAAATACCGGGACCTTGCCCGGGAGCTGAGAAAGATATGAAATATGAAGGTCAAAAATAATGTCTATAATATTAAGTGCTCTTGAAATTTGACTTTAAGACATTGGGAGATTGAGATTAGATGAGTTGAAAATCCGAGATACAGAGATTGTGAGATTCTTGGGGTGGGGTGCTCTATTATAATAGTGAGTAAAGTGTTAGAGATTTTTGAAGCTTGATTTTCCTCAGTCCTTAGCGATGACCACCAGGAACGTGGTGGGAATATGCAAATACATCAATAATAATAATAATAATAATAATAATAATAATAATAATAATAATAATAATAATAATGGTAATAATAATAATAATGGTAATAATAATAATAATAATAATAATAATAATAATAATAATAATGGTAATAATAAAGTAATATTGCATTGTTAAATTATTATTGAATAAGTTTTCCAAATGAGGCCGCAATCCTCTTTTTCATGGAAGACAAAGAATTGTCGACTTCGATTCTATTTTGGTTGGAACAAAACCCAGAGTCGTCATTATATTGTTCCCAACACATTCTTCTACAAAGAAGACGAGTGAGTGCAAAAAAGACGTTACCAATGATCCTTGATTCAACCTGGGGCAATTTTGCTTTTTGAATTTATATTAGCAGAGTTTCAATAAAGAATCGATCATTAATGTAATTAAAATCGCTTTTTTATGGTATCGATTTTCAGCAGTGTTTCCGAAAAATAATGTGAGAATTGTTACGACTATATTTAACTCAATAAATGAGAAACATTAAAAAAACAAAATCTTTAAGAAGACTTCATTGTTCGTTGTTGTTGAAAGAAGCGAATGTGTGAAAAAGCAGCAAAAAATTATCGCTAACATGTTTGTCCGACAACCATATTTGAGTTTGTCTAGGGGCTTACTTCGTGGCTGAGTTAAGGATAAGGGGGCCTGCCTGGACGGTATGGCTGATATAGAATCGAGAAATTTCAATGTTCTTCTATTGAACTGAGAGTCTCTCCTGTTTTGGGCACTGTACTTGTAAAATCGGCGATATCCACATTATATGATTTCAGTTGAGTTCAAGACTTTGTGTTAGATACGAGTTCAAACACTTTACATCGCTATAAAATCTTCCATCCCTTATAAAGCAAAATAATTGGTTAATATTTTAAATAAAGTTCATGAGATAAACAGCGGACTATTTTAATATTTTCATCTATCTATCTATCTATCTATCTATCTATCTATCTATCTATCTATCTATCTATCTTAGTCTGCTCATATCTATCTATCTATCTATCTATCTATCTATCTATCTATCTATCTTAGTCTGCTCATATCTATCTATCTATCTATCTATCTATCTATCTATCTATCTATCTATCTTAGTCTGTTCATGTTTATATATTCATTTTACTTTGAAAGGTATTTCAATATTTACGTTTAGTACATACAGGTAAAGTTACTGCTCATGTACAACAAGCAAGTATATCTGTGTGTATATAATATATATATATATATATATATATATATATATATATATATATATATCTGTATAATGAGAGAGAGAGAGAGAGGAGAGAGAGAGGGAGAGTAGGAGAGAAAGATACAGAGACAGAATGGAAAAAAGAGAAGAAGAGAATATGAAATAGCGACTCGGTTTGCTTGTGTGTTTGTGTCATTACGAATCTTGGTAACACAAGGCTGTGGTTCACAGCACACACGCAAGTGAGCATGTGATGCCCTTTGCCAATTGGAAATATTTTCTTTTGAAATTAAAATAATCCGCTCCGAAAAGCAATGCTTCATATTTTCTTGCGATTTTAAACTTTCTTTCAACTTGAATATTTTTCCTTTTTAAAATTCAATTTACTTTTTTGCATTTAATACCAGACTCTTTTCTTCTGTCCCCTATATCCACGATATATATATATATATATATATATATATATATATATATATATATATATATATATATATATATATATATATATGGATGGGGATACTGAAGATTCTTTTGGCTTGACTCATTTCCCACAGTGGAACCAAATAATCTACACATATTTTTGGGAGGATTCTTTTTTGTTTTTCTATCTATCTATCTATCTATCTATCTATCTATCTATCTATCTATCTATCTATGAATACTTGTTTTATTAGTTATATGAACGGGAATTACCTTCGGGCATCGCTCTACTGAAGAAAAGCGTAGATCGTTTATATTTTAAGGACTTAAAATGCCGTCTTTGACAAAAAATAAAAACATAATTCACATTGTTTAGAGGTTGTTTTGCAAACATCAGTTAAGTATTGCAATCAAAGAAAATCTTTGATCATTATAGAAGATAAGTAATTTGATGTTTATCATGATATTTATTCTTTATGAATGAACATTAAAAATCATTATATATATATATATATATATATATATATATATATATATATATATATATATATATATATATATATATATATATATATATATATATATATATATATATATTTATAACAACAGAGTATGAATGAAATTTTATTAAATTTACGGATATAAATAATAAATATATTTCGTAAAGAAAAACAAAAACCGCACTCGTGAAGACACGATACCTAAGGAAAAACGTACATGTGTGAAGACGAGATATATGAAAAAAGGTAAAATTGACATCACACACACACACACACACACACCAAAAAAAAAAAAACAACAAAAAAACAAAACAATGCTTACTGATAGTCAAAACATTATCGACAAAAAACGCTATGTGTGACTTATGAAAGCCGAAATTATTCAGATTTTGGATAATTTATATTAAAAACCAGGACAATTATGCGAAAGAAGAAAACATAAAGAAAAATAAAGAACTTAACAAAATTGTCATAAGCGAAAAGTTACCCAAATCAACCTGTTCAGATCTATCTATCTATCTATCTATCTATCTATCTATCTATCTATCTATCTATCTATCTATCTGTCTGTCTGTCTGTCTAGCTAGGTAGCTATTCGCTAAATTTGTTTACATTTACCTCAGGCTATATTCAGGAAGAATTATATTTACTGTTAACTGAAAATGGATTGTTGTGTGTATATATTTAGCATTTCAGAATGTTTTATTTTCAAAATACAGTCAACATATTGAGTCAATGTTCATAGTTGATATTATTGAGTGTTGGTTGTTTTTGTTTTTATTAATAAGGCTTCCATTATTTTTAGCCTTTTTTTTACATGTAGAAGTCCCAATAATATCAACTATGAACATGGTCACAATATGTTGACTGTATTTTGAAAATAAAACTTTCTATAATACTAAATACATCAATACAACAATCTATTTCCAGTTAACAGTAAATATAATTAATTCTTGATAATGGCTAAAGGTATAGCCGAAAGCGCTTGGAAAAAATAAAATATTTGGACAAAGTTTTGTATAATTTATCTACGGAAAAGAAAAAAAATGATACCATCATATGAGAAATTATATAAAAAATTTAATCAAAGCATCTTGTCTCCCATATTTAATGAAGGTTGCATATATATATATATATATATATATATATATATATATATTTTGTTCCTATCTATCTATCTATCTATCTATCTATCTATCTATCTATCTATCTATCTATCTATCTATCTATCTTTTTTACGTATGTATTAGCTTCTTATTTGAAACTATTGAAAACCATCATGATAAAGAATAAAAATCAGAATAAATGTTAGCTGAACTTACTCTTATAATTGGACGATAATTCTACTGAATTGAAAAAAAGAAATATTCCGCGCAAAAATGTCTACATTTTTATCAGCTTCATTCAAGCAGACATCGAATGCTTTTTTTTTTTTTTTTACATTAATAGCTATTCATTATTATGCAAGCGTTTTAATAACTTTGAAGCATAGATGCTATTTATAGCCTATATTACATGAACTTACTATCCGCGGACGCACAGTTGAAATCTCAAATATCCGCGGTCGGCCCAACGAACAAAAACTTAGATTTTATTAAAGTAAACTAAAACTACTTTGTAAAAGATATATCTCAAAGGAGTAAAAATTAAAAAGAAAAAAGAAAAAAAAGAAATGAAATAGGTACAAGGTTTTAATAATAATAATAATAATAATTTGAAAATTTAAACGAATTGAATCGATTTAAATATCTGCAAACCAACAAAAGTGTGAGTCATCAGATGGTTACTTTAATAACGCGTGCTTTTCCCTTCGCCTAAATTTGTGGGTGAAAAACATGAACAAAAAAAAAACCCACAAAAAACACGTCAAAGTAACATAAAATAACGAGTTCCGAAAGGCAGCTGCGTCAGAAAGCCATAAAATTTTAATTACGTTTTTAAAATAAGGTGTCGATTTCTGGTGAAAACTTTATTATGCAAGCGTTTTAATAACTTTAAAGCACACACTTCTGCACTTTGTTCTTAACCGCGGATTTCACCAGGCGTGAAGAACTTATCTGCCGCTGTTTGTACGTGATTCATAAAGACATATATGTAGAGACATGTAAGTGTATGTACAAAAGTAGTCGTATATACAATTAATTTACTATTTAATTTGAAAGCAATTTGCCTGCAAACTGGCTCTTCTGTAACATCTTAAAGTTTGTAAAAATGTCTAAACAAAATTTGATTATTTGAATAGAAAATGGTTCTTACGATTTTTGTTAAATATTAAAAACTGATCTGCTTAAATTCTAAATCTGTCATATTCGTATGAGTGCCATATATATATATATATATATATATATATATATATATATATATATATATTGATACACATACAACACATACGTGAATACGCATATTTACAAATGGACGCGCTTTCTTGATTTTAAGATTGACCGTATCTATCTATCTATCTATCTATCTATCTATCTATCTATCTATCTATCTATATGTTGATCTGGCCAGTTGTGTGATATATATATATATATATATATATATATATATATATATATATATATGTATGCATGTACAGGGTGCGATGGGTAAATTATCGCCATTTTTTTTTTTTAATTTCGCGCATGTTGGTTGCTTGTTTTTAATTTTGTCGACGGCACAATTTAGTAGGGTCAGTTGGGCACCCTCTGTGAGAAAAAAAGAGCACCATGATGCATTTCCCTCCACCAGCTTGTACTGCTTGGAATTCGAACCGGAAGATCTAATACGAACGTTTCAGAGTGTTTGGAATTCAATCTGAGGACAGTGCAGAGAAGGTTGGATGAGTCTAACGGTGATTATGAAGGTGTTTGGATTGATCTGTAGTGATGGCACCGTTATCCTTCCATTCAGCTTACAACAGGGTCACAGACACAACATGGAAGCCTACATCAAGTACCTTGAGGATGTAGTGCTGCCCTGGGTCAAGACGGGAGCTGTTGAAAGACCTTATGTCTGTCAACAATATTCTGAACCATGTTACACAAGCAGGAGAACCCAATCATGACTGTCAGACAATTTCTGCAACCACATCACCCCTTCCATCTGGTCACCTAACTCCCCAGACAACAACCCCCCCTTTATCATTATGTATAGAGAGCAGTTGAGCGAGAGAATAAAAAAACGCTTTAGCATTTCAATCCAATTTTGTGTAATTTTGATAAATATGTCTATTAAAATGAGATGTGAGTAATTTTAATTTTTGCATAATTTGGACGACAATTTATCCCCGGCATATATATATATATATATATATAGAATAAATATTTTTTCATAAGGAACTTTTCCTAAAAGTTTTGAAAATCAGTGCTTCCCCGACACACACATATTTCGTTTTAGTATTTGCCTATGTATTAGAAAGTTGTGCCTTGAAGATGACAACTTGAAATTGCGAAAATACTTGGCATGTGTCTTCCATGTGACAATAACTCGAATATAAGGATCTTATTATTCAAGGAATTGATAGCAAGTTAATGTCTCATTAAGTCTTGTTAGCGAAGTGATTTCGCCATTAATCAAATTGATATTGCTATTTAATTCTTTGTATAAATTGTTTCTTTATGATATACATACATACATACATAGGTATATATATATATATATATATATATATATATATATGTGTGTGTGTGTGTGTGTGTGTGTGTGTGTGTGTGAAGATCAAATGTAGATCAGATATAGATAGAAATCCGACAAGATGAGAAAATGAAATAAAGAATAAAGTAGGAGACGAATCTCAATTTTAACTTTATTAAGGCTTCGTCAGAGATCGAAAATAGAAATGAAAAAGTAATATATATATATATGTGTGTGTGTATGAGTGTGTGTTTGCTTGTGTATATGTGTATTTCTATATATTTCTATATTTATGCACACGTACACACACACACACACACACACATATATATATATATATATATATATATATATATATATATATATAATGTATTTATATGTATGCGTGTGTTTGTTTATATTCTGTATGCGCACTTACATATGTATTCGAATCTTATAATATCACACAATTTCTTTTCTTTTTTTCTATTTCTGATTATCTTTTTCATGTATTTCTCTCCTCTTCCCTCCTCTCTCACTCTCTCTCTCTCACGATATATATATATATATATATATATATATATATATATATATATATATATATATATGAGGTGTTAAAATAAAACTTTATATAGTTTTTTCTTCTGGAAATTAGCACTACTTCGTAATAAGATCGAAATTTCACCCACCTTTTGTCGTTTACAAAAAATACACATGCTTCCCCTTGAAATTCATTCACAATGTTTCAGCGTTTCCTTTCTGATCATTAGAATTTTTCTCATCTTCATTCGGCTTTCAAATATTCATTAAAAATAATCATTTATTTAGCAAACAGATATTAGCAACCCCCCGCCACATTTAAAAACCCTATCGCAAGGTTCCTTCACAAGAATTTACACCATTGAACCACATTTACATAAACTTTCAGATGCAATTTCAACATAACAGTTTAAGTTGGAACGCAAGCAAATTATTATGACTAATGCAGACGATGAAATCTTTTGTGCTTGAATTTAATTATTGTGGCGCTAAGTCCTTCTGCAAAATGTTGTGTAGCATTCATTGTCTGTGAATTTTAATTTCGGCCATGATTTTTGGCCGTTATTATCTATTTCAATCAAGAGTCTGGTGTATCAGAATAATATTAAGAAATTTCACAATGTCAGATTTTTGTGACTAGATATTTTTGTCTTTTAGATGGATATAAGTTCGTTAAAATAATTTTATATATTGAATTCGTGCGTATTGATATTTCGGTGTGCTTGGAAATTCGTGCCCGCAATAAAAAACGGAATGTCAAAAAGACGGTTTTTCCCTTGACACCGCTATTGTTTTAACTTTCTTCCATCCTCGGCAATGTTCATTGTTTTAAAAATGGATGATTAGAAGTGTAATAAAACCTAAACATATGATGAAAGTGAATTTATACATTTTTTTGATTCTTGAGAATTTAAAACAAACATATTAAATACCGTTTATTTATTAAATTATTTATAATTTTATATTTACAGCATTCTAACAACTAAACTAATTAAAACTAATACAATGCAATATTTATAATCTATTAATTTATAAAGAAATAAATATGAGAAAAAGTATTCGTAAATTTATAAATATTTACTAAATTATTAAAATATGTGAACCAATTATAAAGAAATCCTTATTAGTTACCATTTTATAAAGTTCGAATCAACTGGCAATTAAACAACGTTTTGCCAACCATTCCAATAAATAATATAATAATGTTTATTATTTTTGTTGTAAATTCTCAAGAACAACAACAAAAAAAAATGTATAAATTCGCTTTCATCATATGTTAAGGTTTTATTAAAATTCTAATCATCGTTTTTTAAAACAATACACATTGCCAAGGAGTGAAGGTAGTTAAAATAATATCGGTGTCAAAGGAAAAAAAAACATCTTTCTTGACACTTGCAGGAACGATGGCACAAGTTTGCTAATATTTCGTTATTTGCTTAGCGAACAACAATCAACGCTAAGAAGTTCATGCTAGAAATCAGTATAATTTTCGTAGTCTCATTTACAATCAAGATTTTTGAAAAGGCGAAATAACAGATGTCGAAAGCTGAAATGTAAAGCAAGTTTTCAAGCCTTAAAAACTGGATCAAGACAAACTCTAGATAATACATCGTTTTCACTTGTACAAGGAACCGAAAAGAGGAGATAGTTCCCAGTTTTCGATAAAGAAATACGTTATTCACGTTATTTCATTGTGTATTATTGTCTTCATTTTTGTTGTTATTATCACAAAGTTTCGGCCATTATGCTCTCCAGTCTTCATCAGGATTTTTTTTTTTTTTAATCCGGGTAACATTCACGGATTTCCTATCTGAATGTTCTACTAAATCCACGGGGTTAGATTCTCGTCGTTTCGCTGTCCATGTCTCGGTTTAGATTAGATTGGATCCTCATTTTTCAGTCTCGCTAGAGTCCAAAAGCTTTCCCGCGTCCTTGTGGGTGACTGCACTCGTCTCTCACAGACGAGATGTCGCAAGCCTCTTACTGCTTCAATGGATACTTCAATAGCAAGTGCTCAGACGAATTACATCCCCTAGTTCCGCCAGTTCTAACTTACACGTCTAGGACCAACCGTTCCAATCGAATAGCTTCTTCCCGCGAACCACTACTCTGTGGAAGAGACTCCCAAGAGGCTGTTTCCCCGATCACTGTAATCTTAACATATTCAAGTCTAGAGTTAACCGTTATCTTCCCTATCTATCCCCATAAACTGTACCTCTTACTCTGTAACCCTCTACCTCGGGTGGCTCCAGGGCCTTCTATAGGAAGGAACTCAAAGGAAGAAAAAAAAAGAAAGGATTGATTTTTTCCAATAATTTACAGCCAGAAAATATTTTAAGATTGTAAGAATTTTCGAGACAGTAACGATTCAGTAATACAATTCCTACTAATTAACCCATAGCTGGGGGGAAGAAGAGATGTATTCTACGTTATTTACGCGTAAGTGAATATAACGAAGCCGACTGGAATTGGAACGCGTCTTTCCTAGTTTGAATTCCGAGTCGTTATCTTACAGAACCTAGTATTCCTAAGCGGTCACCCATCTAGATACTGACCAGGCTCGATGATGCTTAACTCCGGTGATCGTACGGGAACCGATGTTTTAACATGTATAGAGATATCATATTTAGTTTTGATTTAGTACTGTTCAGTTATTTCTCGCCCATTTTCCAACCAGTTATGCGCCATGCTTGATACACGCTTAGGCGATCATGTATCTTGACTGACGAGGCAGATTTTTTT